ACATGTGAAAGGACAATAGGAAACTATCAAGTACCTTACAAATGGACAGCCTAATTCTGGGTGGTATTAATGGAAATAAGAAATGCCTTGCAGATGTTACCTTCAGGCATAGAGAAAAGACAGAAAGACAGGCCTAGTGGTACACACTGTGCAGAGAAAAGAGCAAGACTCTATCTCAAAATAAAAAAAAATAAAAAGGACTGGGGATGTAACTCAGTGGTAGAGTCCTCTGGGTTCAATTCCCAACACCAAAAAAAAAAAAAAAAGAGGCAATAACAAGAAACTGAAGTTTAAGAAAAAAAATCAAGTAAAGAAAGCAGGTGAGACCATAGCTCAAGGAGAAGTGAATACAAGATTTCATCTGATTGAGAGAAGCAAGCACAGCATAGCACAGCAATCTTTACAGATGGGAAACTGGAGGCTTGCCTACAACCCTTTGCAAGAAACAGAGGTGATCTGAAGATAGTCTGTCTAAGCTTAAAGACACTCTCGTTGAGAAGTAAGGCTTCTTCTTCTTCTTTTAATTTTTTTTTTAGTTGTAGATGGACACGATACCTTTATGTGAGGATTGAACCCGTGCTTCACACATGTGAGGCGAGTGCTCTACCACTGAGCCACAACCCCAGCCCAAGAAGTCAGGCTTCTTAACAGATGCTATTTATAAGGTTAAATCACCATCTTTTAGTTTCCACCTGCAATTCCAATTCCTTTCTTCAACAGAATCCTAAATCCCAGTGTTCAAACTCTGGCAGATAAAAGCAATGTATTTAAAGGGGGAAAATTCATCATGTAGAACATCTGTTATGACAACAGACACTAGTATGGCAGTATGTAAAAACGTGGATGTGTAACTGATGTGATTCTGCAATCTGTATACGGGGTAAAAATGGGAGTTCATAACCCACTTGAATCAAATGTATGAAATATGATATGTCAAGAGCTTTGTAATGTTTTGAACAACTAATAATAATAATAATAAAGAACATCTGTTATGGTATCTCCCAGAATTCATCTTGAAATAGTATTTGAAATCCTAACTCTTTACGCCTTAGAGTATGACTGTATTTGGAGACAGGGTCTTTAAAGGAGTAACTAAATTAAAATGAGATCTTTAGGATGGGCCCTAATCCAATATGTCTGGTGTCAAAATATGAAAAGGAAATAAGGTTCAGAGGGAAAAATCATGTGAAGACACAAGGAGAAAATGCCATCTGCAGGTCAAGGACAAAAGCCATAGAAGACACCCACCCTTGATCACAGACTTCCAGCCTTCAGAACTAAGAAATTATTTTCTGTTGTTGAAGCTACTCAGTATGGGGTACTTTGTTTTGGCAGTTCTAGCAAACTAATACACCTTCCTACTAACATTAGCTGTCACAGAATCAGAGGACATATGCATCTGCTAAGAATACAAACAGAAAAAAAAGTTTCTTTCTAGAAATAAAGACCAAACCCTGAAGTAAAAAGTGAGTTAGTGGCTCCTTCTCTGCTTCTAAAACAATCTGACCAGGTTGGTGGTGACTCTCAGGCCTTACCACACACTAAGCTGTCTTCCCTAACACACTCTCAGTTCCTCCAGAGCAGGGACTGTCAACCATCCATCTTGCTTTCTCTGCCATGTGGCATCACACTCAACACACAATAGGATCTACATGTACATATACTGCTTTTTACTACTGCTGAATAAACAACAACAAAAGGTTTACTTGAGAAAAATAAGAGACTTCTTCCCCTCTTGCATTTTAATTCAGGCCACTGAACAAAGATTTGAACTGATCCAGGTTTCTTCAAACTGTTCACTTATCCCTACTCAGGCTAAGGCACCATGGGATGAAGCAGTCAAACAGGACCATTTCATGCTGCCATCCTGGAAATGGATTTTTACTTCATATATTGCCACAGTGTTCCTCTAAAACCTCCTTTGGATCCATTATGTCATCTGTGTACATTCTGGAGCAGTTACAATAATAATGCAAAGTCCCACAGAAATAAGATTTTTAAAATGTTATGTAGTTACAGTGAATATGCAGTAAACACTTCACCAAAGTGAATAACAGTCCTTTACCATTTTAAAGGAAAGAGAAAAATACCAAATGGGGTTAATTCACATTATGGACTAATGGTCTGTAAACTTTCGTTTGAAAGCAAAGCGCAGAAAAAGCTTTGACAGAGCTACTTTTCACTGTAAAAATAAATAAAACTCTTTCAAATAATTTATACATGATTTTTCCAAGTCAAATTGCCAACTTTCAAACAAAAATTAAAACCACCATCCAGTTACAACCCTTAAAATATGGGCTTTATAATGGAAATGGTAAAACAATCTTAGCGAAGGAAATGTTGCTAGGGTACTGATAGTAAAGGAGAGTCTACAGTAAATACTTCACACTCTAGTTACAGGGCACTTGTTGACAGACAATACTTAGATTCCACTCTTAATGATATAACTCTGTGTAACAACTATCACTTTTCACAGGACTTCTGCTGTTAATGTCTACTGGTGTTCTGGCCTTGGTCCAAATTGAATAAATATATTTGCCTTCTGGTTCCCACAGATTTTAAATTCATTTTTATAGCATGTTTCTCTTGAAGAGCAAATCAGAAGAGAGAATTTCATTCCAACTTTTAAAGGGACAAGTGATTTTATATATACTAATTTAAATGTATGGATTTCCTCTCTATAATTGTTCTCTGCACTATAGACTGCACATCAGAATTACCTAGGAATATTTTCTAAAAGTTATACCTTCCTAAAATTTTACGTCTCACCTTCAGAATTAGAATATGTGGGCACAGGAACCATGCATTTGGATCTTTAGTATGCCCCAAGAAACTCTTGGGAGGCAGCTTATAACATATCATGTGTTAGGAAACTTCTGCTCATGGATCACTGGTAAGCATGACCCAGAGTTTCAGTTTAAATCCCACTGCTAACAAATACCAAATACCAATTAGCATCACTGCAGGATCTGAAAATGCCCTGAGCACATAAATATCAGCTAACTGGTTCCTTCCTAAACTATAACTTAGGAATAATAAATAAGCAAGAGGAAGTTTAAAGAAAAGTTTCAACAGTTAAAATTCAATAAATAAAATAAAAGGGCTCTCAGAACATTTCATGAAGTTCCTTCTGTCAGACACATACATTTTGTACTCTTCTTTTTAAAAAATTTTCTTTAGCCTTCTGACACATAAAAGAACTTGTCAATAATTCTCTTAGTACCATTTTTTTTTGCCCTAACTGCTGGGTAGTGTATTTATTAGAAATAAACAACAAAAAAGGTGTCCCCATTCTTAAACACACTGCAAAATGGGACTACAATAAACTGAGTATACGGATCCTGACAATACTTCTCTTTTGCCAAGCGAGAAGCTTCTAAGTGGCCACTATATTTCCCTCCCATTGTCCCAGGAAGCAATCTATACCCCTCAATGTTCTCCAAGAAGGCAGAATAAGTTCACAGTGACTTTCCAGATCACTCCTCTCTCTCCATGACTCCAAGAGTCACCAGACTTTTTGAAAACCGCTCTTCACAAAAGACTGATTCACTTTCCAAAAAGGAATTTTGGAGCTATATATGGAGGAGGATTCTATCCCCTTAGAGACTAAAAACATCTAGAGAACAACCTAAGATGGCCATATTCAGAAAGGAGTCATGGGAGAGCAGGTTCTAATATACTGATACCCAGAAGGACATAACTGGCCCAATAGAAACACACAATGCTTCCATACTTAATTTTTTCAACTCATGACCACCTTTAAGGAAAGGCTTTTTGGGGGCTAAAGAAAAACATCCATTGATGATATTCCAAGTAAATATAGGCTAGATGTTAGCCATGCATGGAAATTCTAAAAACTAGTTATTAATGGACAGAAGGAATTTCTTTTCTATATAAATTTTACTAATTCATGGAAAATACACTGTGAAGATAGCCCATCTTTGTTGAACATCTAAGGATAAGATACTAATATCCAAACCAAGTCCTGTGTCAGCTGTAAAATATTTTATATCTAAGGACAGAAAAACCAAGTTAGTAAAGGCAATTTAAGAAATAATTTCTAGCCTATCTTGGAGATGGAAAAACTGAAGTCAATTATGATTGAAATTGAAAACAGTGCGACCAAATCAAGGGCAGCATGGGGATTCTTAGGTGAGGAAATACAGCAATATTTGGAGGTTTTTATATGCCGTTGAGGTTGCCTCCAGCCCTAATACCGACCAACAAAATGTTGAATTGATATTCACTGACAAACAAAATAAACACTCTGTAGGTAACTAATAAGAAAAATGTGTAAATTTGCCTTTTTTATTTTTTACAGGTAATAGAAAAGTTGTCAATGTGATTTTCAGGTAGGAGAAAAAACATGCACTTGTCATGACATTTTCAAATACTTTAAGTTATGTAACAAAGCTTTTCCCAGACCCATTAAGTCCCACGGTGCCTGTAAGTCTTGTATAAGGAAACGACAAGTGCAGAGGGTTCCAGGCAGCATCTGATCATATAGGCTGAGGCACCTATATACTCTCTTACGATGGAGTCAATAAAAGAACTCCACCCCATCCCTCTCTTTCAAAATGAACCTAGGCTTTTAGTGAACAGCAGAGACACACTCCAGGTCTATTTTTTTTTTTTTGTGGTAATATCTGGTTTTTGTAGGCCCAATGATCACGTTGCCTATGCTTACTTTATTACAATTACTAAACTCTATAGAAAATAGCATTTTCAAAATATAGCATTAACGAGTCCTTTTTGTACCGTTCCTCCTCCAAAGCCTTGCTTTAATAGAGAACAATGTGAGACAGGCTGTGGGGGCCAAAGCTGGGGATTCCTATGCCACCGCCCCTCATGCAGGAGATCCCTCTGTTCACACAGGCCCCCACAACCTGCTTCCGAGACAGCAATGTGATGCTGCGTGAACAGCCTGACACAGTAGGTCTGGCTTTTATGATGCAAATTTCCACTTTAAACTCAAAGGTAATTACAGTATTTTAACGTAC